TCAGACGGGGTAGCCCCACACTGGAGGAACCATGTCCTAGGCAGGGCTGGGCATTCAGAAAACCTCACTCTTGTCACAGCTGAGTAGGTATCAGGTGTTCTTTTGCCTCTGGGGCAGAGAAGGAACAGTGGGGGAAAGACCCTTTCACCAGAACCAAGAAATCCTAGTATAAATTCTGGTAATGTCACTGACAAGCTGTGGGCACTTAGAAAACTCAGTCTCAGTTTCCTCATCTACCTACTGGAGGTAAGAGCTGCGCACTTAGTAGGTACTAATAAAGCTGAAGTGAGATCCTTTTGCAGTTCATAAGCGTGAGGACTGGGTTTTCACACTCATGTGTGAGATGTGCCTCCTTCAAACCTTGTTATGACGTCAACACATTACCTGCCTGATGTGGAAAAGATAAAAAGCTTAAGTGTAATTTCAATCCCTTAAAAGAGACAAGGTCTCACTCTGATGCTCATGCTGGAGTGCAGTGGCATCCTCATAGCTCACTGTAACCTCAAACTCTCAGGCTCAAGAGATCCTCCCCCCTCAGACTCCTCAGTATCTGGGACTATAAGCAAGCACCATCACATCTGGCTAATTATTTTATTTTTTGTAGAAATAGGATCTTGCTATGTTTCCCAGGCTGGTCTCAAGTGATCCACCCATCTCAGACTCCCAAAGTGCTGGGATTACAGGCATGAGCTACCACCCCAGCCTCAGTCCTTTAAATTTATACATTTACCCAAAGCCCTCACGTATCTCCTTTCCCTTAAACCTTACAACCCTGTAAAGACATATCATCATTTTCACTATAGAGCAGAGGTAACTGAGAGAGGGGGAATCACTTGCCCAACATCACATAGCTGTTAACTTAAAGGCTGAACTGAAACTTGAATCCAAGTCTAGGTGATCAACACATGCTTCTTCCCCTCATCCCCAAACTTGCTCCTCCCAAAATGCACTCCCTCTACCTTCTCATAGGGAAAATAAATTATAAATAATCCAATGTTTGAGTAGGCTGGGAGAGTACTTGGTTTCCCCCACCTTGATCAAAGTCAGACATAACACTGTCACCATAAAGCCAGGGCAGGCGGGAGTCCTTCTCTTTAGAGTCCAGGCAACCCAGTAGCTTGGGACAAACTTTTCTCTGTTTGAGAGAATAGTCTTAATTTCTATGTGTGGATGGGGTAGAGACGGGAAAGAGGGAAACCAAAATTTCATGTCAATAGACTGTCTCTCACACTGACAGGAAAGGGGGTTCTGACGGAGCTGAGGGAATACAAGAGAAAGAACTCACATTTGAGTTCTTCATCCATCACCCAGTGGCATACTAAAATGAGGAGTGCTAGTACCTCCACTATGATGATTCTTCCTAAATTACTTTGTAAATTTACTATGATTCCAGTAAAAATACTAACAGAATTTCTTTGTTTATTGGCAGGAGAAGGATTAGCTAAATGGGAAATTCTGGGGGGAAAAAAGCCTAAAGAACAAGAATGGGATTACAGGGAGGGTTGCTAAAACCTAATAGCTATTAAGATTTTGGAAAATGGGCCGGGCGAGGTGGCTCACGCCTATAATCCTAGCACTCTGGGAGGTCGAGGCAGGCGGATTGCTCAAGGTCAGGAGTTCAAAACCAGCCTGAGGGAGACCCCGTCTCTACCATAAAAATAGAAAGAAATTAGTTGGCAATAAATACTATCATAAATAAAAAATCAGCCGGGCATGGTGTTGTGCTGTAGTCCCCGTACTCGGGAGGCTGAGGCAGGAGGATCGTTGAGCCAGGAGTTTGAGGTTGCTGTGAGTAGGCTGACACCACGGCACTCTTCTAGCCTGGCAAGAAAGCGAGACTCTGTCCTCAAAAAAAAAAAAAAAAGATTTGGAAAATGTCATCGGTAAGGGCCAGTTATAATTATGGTATATCCACACAATAGAAAACTAGGCAACATTTAAGGAAAAATTAAGGACATTTTTAATGTATCATACAGAACAAACTCAAGTACAGTAAGTGAAAACACAAGGTACAAAACTGGGTATCAATATGTTACTATACATACAAAAATAGGGAGAAAACAAAAACATTTTTTTTATTATCTATTGCTGTGGAACAAATTACCACAAACTTAGCGACTTAAACATTTTATGTCAGTATACATGGGTCAGTAACCTGGGCAGCTTAGCTGGTTGCCTTTGGTTCAGGGGCTCATGAGGTTGTAATCAGCTGTTAGCTGGGTGTGGGCACACTGAAGGCTCGACCAGGGGAGGATCTGCTTTCCAAGCTCATCAAGTGGTGGGAGGTACTGGTTCTCCATATGGCTGCCTCAGTGTCACAGGTGACTTCCCCAGGGTGGGTGATCCAAGAGAGTGAGAGATAGACCCAAGATGGAAGGTGCAGTCTGTCTTTATAATCTATTTCAGAAGTGACATCCTAACACTTCTGCAGTGTTCTTTTATGAGAAGCAATCTCTAAGTCGTCTACATTATATACCCAGGTAGGAGCATATACAAACATGAATCTAAATGTGGGACATTGGGAGCTGTCTTAGAGGATATCCACCACCACACTTACATAACCAAAAATATTTCTGGAAGGATACACTAGAAATATTTTAATATGGTGCCTCGAGGGCAGAGAACTGGGTAACTGGGGAAGAATTTTTCCCTGAATGTGTTTTCTTTTTGAGACAGAGTCTCACTGTGTCGCCCAGGCTAGAGTACAGTGGCCTCATCACAGCTCACTGCAACCTCCAACTCATGAGCTCAAGTGATCCTCCTGCCTCAGCCTCCTGAGTAGCTAGGACTACAGGTGCACACCACTACATCTGGCTAATTGTTCTATGTTTTATAGAGACAGGGTCTCACTGTCTTGCTGAGGTCGGTCTTAATTCTGAGCTCAACCAATCTCCTGCTTCAGCTTCCAGAGTGCTAGGATTACAGGCATGAGTCACCACGCCCAGCCTGAATATGCTTTTGTGTATCTTTTTTTACAATGTGGATATATCACTTATTCAAAATATAAATCAAATTTATTTTAAATTTAAAAAGAAAGAAAAGGATGGCATTTTAATAGACAAAAAAGGTAAGAGGAAACAAAATAAAAACAATTATACTTAAGTAACAGTTATTACTAAGTACCATAAACACATTTAGTTCTATTTAGTCAATACTTGTTTCAATGAGGGAAATTTAAAATGCTCTTTATTAGACACACATAAACAAGCAAGCAACTCCCATGTGTAGAACAAAATTTACTTTTTTTTTTGAGACAGAGTCTCACTCTGGTGCCCGGGCTACAGTGCCATGGCGTCAGCCTAGCTCACAGCAACCTCAAACTCCTGGGCTCAGCATCCTCACTGCTCAGTCTCCCAAGTAGCTGGGACTACAGCCAATGCGCCCATGCCGGCTAATTTTCTATTATTTTAGTTTAGCAATTATTCTTCTATTTTTAGTAGAGACGGGGCTCGCTCTTGCTCAGGCTGGTTTCAAACTCCTGACCTTAGCGATCCTCCCGCTCGGCCTCCAGAGTGCTAGATTACCGGCGTGAGCCACCATGCCCAGCCCAAAATATACTCTTGAGCTAGGATTTAGAGCTCTTCACAGTGTGGTTCCAGTCCACACTTAGTGACCCATTTCCTACCATGCCATTCTTCCATTTCCATCCTTCTATGAACTCATGTTACTTGCTATACAGTATATGGAACTAGGAACTATTTAGTCCTCCCTCCCTCCATCCCTGCCTTCCTTGTTACTTGCTATATGGAATGCAGAATGAGGAACTATTTCCTTGCTACTTGCTACATGGAATATGGAACAGGAACTCCCTCCATCCCTCCCTTCCTTAGACAAGGCCTCACTCTGCTGCCCTCACTCAGGCTGCAGTGCAGTGATGTGATCATATCTCACTGTCACCTTCAACCCTTGGACTCAACCAATCCTTCTGGCTCAGTCTCCCAAGTAACTGGGACTACAGGTGCATACCTGTCTCGCCCCAGCTGGGCATGGTAGCTCACACCTATAATTCTGGTACTTTGGGAGGTTGAGGCAAGAGGATTGCTTGAACCCAGGAGTTTAAGACCAGCCTAAGCAACATAGCAAGACCCTATCTCTACAAAAAAATAGAAAAATTAGCAAGGCATAGCGGTGCGCGCCTGTAGTCCCAGCTACATGGGTGGCCAAGGTGGGAGGATCACTTAAGCCTGGGAGGATGAGGTTGCAGTGAGCTATGATTGCTCCACTGCACTCCAGACTGGGTGACAGAGCAAGACCCTGTCTCTAAAAAAATATAAATAAATCAATGAGTTTTAACAAGATATCAGTGATTCGCGTGTACATTAAAGTTTAAGAAACACTGGTTTCAATCCTTCTCTGGTTGACTGTAAGCATTGCTAGGGCTCTCTTTCCTTTCTGTCCCGTGAGCCCTTCATAAGACTCAATACTCAAATACCTCTTAGTGTCTACTTATAATAATTATATATATGATTTTAATTAATTTTTGGAAAAATATATACTGCACTAATTGTAGTTATCTGGTAGGTGGACAATGGTGCATTTCTATGTAATATTTTAATTTTTCATAATCAGAATGCATTACCTTTGTAGATAGAAAAACATGAAGATTTGGAAAAATACATGGAAAAGGTAAGATAAAACACATTCACAAAAGATATATAATGCATATAATTGTGTTCAGCTATATTTAAGATATGAAAAGATGGGCAGCTATATTAAGATTTTAAAAAAAAGACAATTTAACAGTATGTATTGATACCATGTTTCTTTAAAATAATTTGTGGACACCCAAAGGATATTTATCAAAATATCTGGTGGAGTTTTATTTTATTTTTTTTTTCTCTTCTTTTCTCCTTTTTTTTCTCTGGTGGAGTTTTATATTTGTGTACATTTAAAATTTTTTCTACAGTTCTATGATTTTTATAAAATCATATCACTTTCTTTTTTTTTTTTTAATTTTTTTTTCTTTTCATATCACTTTCGTAATAAGAAAAATAAAGCTCTTTTCATTTTAAAAATACCTACTCTTTATTAAGCCCCTTTATGTTCAATGATTGAGATTTTTCCTTTTTTTTGCCCCGCCCCCCCATGATTGAGATTTCTCCAACATCCTGCAAAGCTGCATGGTCTGAAAGTAACTTAACCATTGCACAGACGAAGGCCCTGGGCTCAGAAATGTAACCCTGATCACCTAACTCAGGGCTGGTCCCGTCCCACCCCGCCCCGTGCAGCTATACCACACTCAGAGGAATGTGGTGAGTCAGATGCCAAATTTGGCCAAAAAACCTGTCATTTTGGGTATCTAATGCCAGTTGCATCCTCCAAGAGGGCATCGGCAGTAAGGGACCACTCTTCAGAGACAAAGCATCAGAAGAATCCATGCTGCACCACCTCCCCCTGCTGGCAGGCTCTGGAAACAGAAACTGGCTTGATGATGAGGGACTATCACCACTGGCCAAAATTTTTTTATTTTCCACCAATATCACCCTAATATATTTAAATCAGCAAAACCACTTTCTCATTCATCAAGGATTCAGGCACTGACACAAATACACAAAACCAGGAGCTGGTGTAAACCAGACTCAGCACTTTGTATGACACAATGGCAGTGCCTCTCTACCTCCTGTGCTTTCTTTCCTTGCCGTTTTGGGCCTTATGACAGATACCAAGGCATCATGTTCCTCAATTTCGCCTTTCCTCTCTGCTTTCTCTTTGCCTCCATCCACTTCCTTGAGCCTCAGAAAAGATCAAGAGGTGGTCGATGTACTCTCAGTCATGGGCTAGCACGGAAAAGCTCCAACATTGGAGACATTGAGCACCAATCCTCCCGAGACCCAGTCCGTAGGTTCTAGGCTTGGTATTTCAAATATGTCAGGTTGAAACACTGGAACTTCTTTAGAAATACCAGAGTGCAGCAATGTCAGTCTTCAACTGTGGTGCCCCTGGTCTCCAGATAAACACATATCTTCCTTACTCTTCCAGGAAGAAGGAAACATTCAATAGGATATCTAGAATAGGAAGAAAGAAAAACTGTGGCATTATCACCTCTCCAAAGAACACAAAACATCAGATTTATAAAAGACAGAGAGGCAGGGCGATGGCACCTCTCTAGTGTTTACAAAGAGTGTGAGCCACAGGGAAGGAAAGGAGGTGACGTGAAGAAATAAACAAAAACAGTACCTTGTACAAGGTCTTGCGGTTCATCTTTTGAAATTCGGTCCCAGGCCGTGGGCAAAGCTTGGATGTTTGCTAAGTCTCCCCACTGGATTGAGGAGAGGAGGTACTTTCTCTTCAGGTACCTTCCTGGAAGTTAAGGACTGCTCAAAAAGAAAATGAAATATGTTGAAGGAAAAAATACTCTGGTGAGAACTATAGGGAGCTATAAAAGTGAAAATGCAGCTATCCTTACATTTTACCAAGTGAGCAGGATTCACCTGTGCTACAGATATTTCCTGAGCAACTCTTTAATAACATGACTTCATGCTATAGGAAAAAAAGGAATGAAACACTGTCCCTAAAATCTGGAATCTTCCATGGTGAGAACAAAACCAGACAGTGAGTAGAAAGAATCAAAGTAATATGAAAGATAAAACTCAGTGGAAGTTCAAAGGATGAATACATCCAGTTTAGAGGATAGCAGAAACATTCCAGTTGGTAGGAAACGTATAAGCCAAGGCACAGAATGGCAATGCTTAAAATGGATTCAGGGAAAGCAAACCTTCCACTTTGGTTGGCATGGAAACCACACAAAGAATAGTAGGAAAGGCAGCTAAAAGGAGGGTTTATTTGAAAAGATAAACAAAATTGATAGCCCTCTTGGCAAGATTGACAAGGACTCAAAGGGAAAAGACTCTAATAAAGTCAATAAGAAATGAAAAAGGAGAGATCACAACAGACACCACAGAAATACAAAACATTGTATTTGATTACTATAAAAATCTATATGCCCAACAACTACAGAACGAAGATCAAATGGACAAATTCCTGGATACATACAACCTCCCTAAGTTAACCCAAGAGGTAACAGATCTCCTGAACAGACCAATCTCAAGCTCAGAAATTGAAGCAGTAATTAAAAACCTCCCCAAACGGAAAAGTCCCGGATCCGATGGCAATACTTCAGAGTTCTACTAAGTGTACAAAGATGAACTCATACCTATACTACAGAAACTATTCAACACCATTGAGAAAGATGGTATCCTTCCTAACTCATTCTACGAAGCCAATATCACCTTGATACCAAAGCCAGGAAAGGACGTAACAAAAAAAGAAAATTATAGACCAATATCCCTCATGAATACAGATGCAAAAATCCTAAATAAAATTCTAGCAAACAGAATTCAGCAGCACATCAAAAAAATAATTCACCATGACCAGGCGGGCTTTATTCCAGGGATGCAAGTTTGGTTCAACATACGCAATTCTATAAATGCAATTCACTTCATAAATAAAATCAAGAACAAAGACCATATGATTCTGAGTACAGCAACTGGGACCCAGGCATACCACAGTCCTCTCTACTCAAGCTTTTACTATAAAGCCAGTAATCCAGCTTTACGAATCCGCCCCTTGTACTCGCACAAGAACCAAGCCATCCTCCGGCACATATCGGATACCAGAGCGACACACCCATCAGTATACGGCAACCTCAATATTCCTGATAACAGCCACGAAAATATACAATAGCGCAAAAGAATCTGCCCTTCCGCGCGCCGCGGAAAACTTGGTTCACCCGTCATCATGCCAGCAAGATTGAAACAGGATACACTCTCACTCCCAACACTTCACTCAGATAGATACACACGCACTTCAAACCTAAGGCAAGAAACCTTGAAGAATCAGAAGAAGATGTGGGCGGATGCCCCTCAGTTAGAGCTCGGGGCAACCAGAATTTTGGGGAAAGCGCCCCAAAGGCAATCACCGACTGGCATCCAAAAATAAACAAATATCTCATCAAATAAAAAGTTCTGCACAGCTAAGAACCACATCAGAAGCAAAGATACACCCACAGAGTGGAGAAAATATTGCTCCTCCATTTCTCGTGTCCGCCTTATTAGCATTAAAACCCAACAAACACATCGCCCTGAAATGAAACAGAAATTGATCCTCCAAAGAGACAGAATACTGCCGCTGCAAG